CTGGACTTGCTCCAACAGTTCCATGTCCTTCTTATTTTGGGGACACCAGAACTGTGTGCAGTACTCCAGGTGGGTCTCACAAGAGCAGAGTAGAGGGGAAGAATCACCTCCTTGGACCTGCTGCCCACACTCCTTTGGATGCAGCGCAGGACACGTTTTAGGAATCAAATTGAAAAGCTTGTTTTCATACAAGATAGGAGCAGAGTGAGATGAAGACTTACCACTGCTGGTGATGGGACGTGGATGCTGGCAACAGAGCGTGGCCTTATGTGATTGGCTAAGTGGCAAAGAACAACCCCATCCATCAACGCTGCTCCGATGTCATCTGGCAAAATTACTTTCAACCTTGATTCAAGATTCTATAAGAAAGGCCATAAGTTAGTTACTTTCAACATCAGCTAGCTTTGAACTTTTCAATCCAGGGTATTTTAAAGCATTTAACAGTTGTAACAGAACATTTGAATACTAATGTAAATGTCATGAACTCACACTTTCCTGAGTAGAAATAACCTTTACTCCTTATTAACTTCACTTAATACTTGTTTACTTGTTCCCTCTGCTTGTTTTGTTGGGTTTTTTGCTTGCTTCTTTGTTTCTTTTAAAGGGCACAACTACATACATTGAGAAAGACATTTAACCACAATATACAGCTCTCAAACCCATAGGATGCACTTACTATCCATAACAGGAAAGCATAGACTACAAGGACAGAAATGTTATGCTGAATACCTCATAAGCAGTTAAGTGGGCAGAACTTGTGGGTTGAAATTATAAAGAATTTTATTAGAAAGAGGGGAAAAAAATGAGGGGAACACAACTTTGGGAATGGCTATTTCACTTGTGCAGGTTACAGTGAAATAGCTGAGGAAAAGGGGCCCAAGAAGTGCTCACTCTTGTCTTGCAACAGAGAAGGTGAACAATGTTTTCAGTCACTCCAGCACCAAGACTTCACTGCTCAGGATGTGAACCAGACAAACATGCTTCACAGATGTCATCCCCCAAATCAGTACTGCCCTGAAAAGCAGAGCTGCTATGATTTAGTTAACTAGAACTGCTAAGTATCTTGAGAAGAGAACTACACAGAAAACAACTTCTTGGAAATCTGAAATGTAGATCCCATTCAGTACTGTTTAACTTGGAGCAACTTTCTACACTCAAAAAAGCATTTGGCTAGAAAACTATGATCATTTTTCTTCAAACCGCAGGTCAAACAGTAGCAAACACCAACAGATTTATTGTCTCCAGGAAAATGTAAAACCTCAGAAACCCAAGGAAATTTTTTTTATTTCAATTCCTTTTTAACTAAAAAAGAAAAAAAATACATGTAATTCCCAGTTGGTATTTAGGTTGGACCCAAATTAGGACCACCAATGTTGCTTCTCAGCAAGTTTGCTGATGATAGAGAACCGGCAGGAGTTGCCAATAGCTCACAGGGCTGTGCTGCCCGTCAGAGGGACCTCGACAGCCTGGAGAAAAGGGCAGAGAAAGTCAGCAAGGGCAAGTGCAGGTCCTGCACCTGAGGAGGAATAACCCCAAGCTCCAGTACAGGCTGGGCACTAACCTGCTGCAAAGCTGCTCTGTGGAGAAGGACCTGAGGGTCCTGGTGGGCAACAAGCTGTCCATGAGCCAGCAGTGTGCCCTGGGGGCCAAGAAGGCCAGTGGAATCCTGGGATGCATTAGGAAGAGCATTGCCAGCAGCTTAAGGAGGTGATCCAGCCCCTCTACTCAGCTCTTGTGAGACCACACCCAGAGTATTATGCCTAGTTCTGGGCTCCACAGGACAAGAGGGACATAGATATTAGGAAGAAATTTTTTATGGAGAGAGTAATCAGGCACTGGAATGGGCTGCCCAGGGAGGTGGTGGATTCACCATCCCTGGAGGTTTTTAAGATGAGACTAGATGTGGCACTTAGTGCCATGGTCCAGTAACCACAGCAGTGTTGGACTTAATGATCCTGGAGGTCTTTTCAAACCTGGTTGATTCTCCAATTCTATGGAGCTCCTGGAGCAGGTCCAGTGAAGGGCAACAAAAATGATGAAGAGACTGGAGCACCTCACTTAAAAGGAAAGGCTGAAAGGAGTTGAGTCTGTTCAACCTTGAGAAGAGATGACTGAGAGGGACCTCAGCAATGTGTACAAGTATCTGAAGTGAGTGCCAAGCAAATGGGTCAGGCTCTGCTCAGTGCTGCAAACCAATAAAAGAAGAGGCAACAGGCAGAAACTGATGCCCAGGAAGTTCCACCTGAATGAATGTGAAGAACTTCTTTCCTGTGCAGTGACTGAGCACTGAACAGACTGCCCAGAGAGGGCATGAATTCTCCCTTACTGGAGATATTCCAGAACCATCCAGACACTATCCAGTGCTATGTGCTCTGGAATGGCCCTGCGTGAGCAGGAAGGTGGGACCAGATGACCCACTGTTGTCCCTTCCAACTTCACCCATTCTGATTCTGTTACACGAAATTCCTTAGGAAGAAACATCACTACAGAGATGCCTTTGTACAATTGCACTGATTTGCAGGCCTTGAAAATAAAGGTTTGAAGTGTGGTACAGAGCAAACTAAATGCACTGCAGCCATACAGTAACCAATGGTACCTACATTGCGAAGTTGTCTTATTTGTTCCCTTTCTTCCCTTAAATGTTCCATTTTCCTCCTCATTGTAAACCCAGGATCCACTGCACCATAGTCTTGACGTGAGGCACGGCTGAAAGCTATTCAACATGAAGCAAGTTAGCCACCAGAATTCAGAATAAAACCATTCAATGATTAAAAGTCTCTAACCCAGGGTAAAAATCAGGGAAATAAATGCAGAACATTTAAGAACAAATATATTCAAGATCATCTTACTTAAGTGTAAATGGATAATTAGAAAATATGGAGAGAATTGACTTCAAAATGCAAATATGAGTTTGAGATACACAACTCCATTTATACTTATATCCAAGCATCTCTCTCATTCTAGCTTTGAAAGAATCTTCATTGAGTTTAACTTTTAATCAAGTGTGAAGTCTCTAAGGAGCTAAAACCAGGAGAGAACTGCCTGATACAACTTAGAATGAAAGACTTAATATATATACACATACACATGTTTAATAACACACACGTCTTATCACTGACACATAGATGTGTTATTAACATGTGTGCGTCAGGTGTGCACATGCAGAGGCACAGTGATTGTTTATTGAAGAACTAATTGAAAAATATGAAATACCTAGAACTTCAGAGTTTTTTCTTTAAAAAGAAGCTCAGTTAAATAATTGCATTCACTTTACTACTCTCCATGGTCAGAAAACCTCCAAATCATGTAATTTTTACAACACTGGCAAGTCCAAACTCTTCCGTAGCAATAGTACTGTATCCTTTAGTAGCACATGCCATGCTTTTAAGGAAAAAAACAACTCACACCTTTAGAACTTTCTATGTTTTATTTAGTAGTTTGGATTTTAGCAATAGATCTAAGAATCAAAAATAATACAGATTTTACAGAAATCACTGCTCTGATACTGTTATTATTGTAATTACAGATATTTTTATATTATTATTACGAGAATATGTAGTTTGTCTACACAAAAATAAAACTATGTTAAGAACAGTATCTATGGAAGCATCTAAAACCCCAAAGACTCTGACCTCCAACTAAACCAAAGTGTCATTCACTTAGAACAGACCTGAGCTGGAAGTGGCTCCTAGGAGGCCAAAGGTCACATTGAAACAAGATGGGCTGAACAGTCCTCCCAAGCCTGTCCCTTCCTGCTGCCAAAGATGTAGGTAACTCAGAAGCCTCTAAATGATCACAGCCAGGCATGTCCTGGTACACGCAACTAATCTACCTATCTCTGGCACACAAGTTTCACACAACTGCTTATATATCTCAGGTGACTTAAGGGCCCTGAAGAAGCCACTTGCATGGCTCAGCCAGACACTCTACTACTGAGGGCTCACAGTCCAGGAGTATAGGACGTCAAGCTTTGCTACCATAAACACTAAATGAATTTAACTGCAGAGCTGAGATCATGACAGCTTCTTCATGAATTTGCACAGACTGTTCACTTAAAAACAGAGAAGAGTGGAATTAACTGGGGAAAAAAGGGTGCACAGTGGCTTGTCCAAACTGGTTTATACTGTTGACATCAATGGTCACACAGACACTTGCAAACAAAAGAATGATGTAACTGGGGGAGAAAACTGCAGTATTTCTACCTAGATTTCAGAGAGCTGAAGGACTGCTTTAGACAATACAGCTTGTATATTCAGGCATGGCAGAATCTAGGAAGAGTCATGAAGTCATAAAACTGGTGCCAAAACTCTCCTCCAAGTATCTTTTCACAGAACAAATGACAAAATCTACTTCTTTTGAAACCCTCCTGCCTCAGCCATCATATCTCACAAACAATTGTATCCTGTTTCTCTGTTCTTTGACAGTGAGCAAATATTCAGAAAAGAAAGCAGCAGGAAAAAAAGTTTGTTTTTTTTTTAAAAATCACTGTGCAATTTCAGGAACTTCAAGAAAATATAATTGGTTTCTTTTATAATTACATTTAGATATAATTTATTTGACATATTCTCCATATT